TGACGAACCCCAGGGTGCGTTTACGTGTCGGTCATCAACACTCACAATTCTGTCCCATTTTGGTCCGTTTCGTGCACTATAACTCAACGTTTTGGAGTACCAGAGCAATTTCCACGATTGATAATCCCTGGGGTGCGTTTATGTGTCCGTCATCAACACTCACAGTTTGAGCCAATTCTGACCCGTTTCGTATACTATTACTCACCGTTTTGTTGAACCCCAAGGTGCGCTTATGTGTCGGTCATCAACACTCACAGTTTTGGCTGATTCTGGTCCGTTTTGTGGTCTATTACTCACGGTTTTGGGGCCTCAGAGTCAATTCCACGATTAAAGAACCCCAGGGTGCGTTTATGTGTCGGTCATCAACACTCACAATTCTGGCCGATTCTGGACCGTTTCGTGGACTATTACTCACTCTTTTGGGGTCCCAGAGTGATTTCCACGATTAACGAACCTCGGGGTGAGTTTACGTGTCGGTCATCAACACTCACACTTTTGGCCGATTCTGACCCTTTTCGTGGACTATTACTCACTGTTTTGGGCTCCCGGAGTGATTTCCATGATTATCGAACACCGGGGTGCTTTACATGTCGGTCATCAACACTCACATGTTGGTCGATTCTGCCCTGTTTCGTGGACTATTACTGACTGTTTTGGGCTCCCGGAGTATTTTTCATGATTAACGAACCCCGGGATGCCTTTACGTGTCGGTCATCAACACTCACAGTTTTTGCCAATTCTGACACGTTTCATGCACTATTATGCACCGTTTTGGGGTCCCGAAGCAATTTCCATATTCGTTGATCCCCAAGGTGCGCTTACGTGTTGGTCATCAGCACTCACGGTTTTAGCCGATTCTGGCCCGTTTCTTGGATTGTAACTCACTTTTTGGGGTCCCGGACTGATTTCCATGATTAACGAACCATGGGGTGCGTTTACGTGTCGGTCATCAACACTCACAGTTTTGGCCGATTCTGGCCCGTTTCCTACTATGTTGGGGTCCCGGAGTGATTTTCACGATTAACGAACTCCGGGGTGTGTTTACGTGTCGATCATCAACACTCACAGTTTTTGTCATTTCGGACCCGTTTCGTGGACTATTACTCACCGTTTTGCAGTCCCAAAGCGATTTCCATGGTTGTCGAACCCCGAGGTGCGTTTACGTGTCAGTCATCAACACTCAAAGTTTCGGCTGATTCTGTCCTGTTTCGTGGACTATTACTCACAGTTTTGGGGTCCCGGAGTATTTTTTCATCATTAACGAACCCCGGGGTGCCTTTACGTGTCGGTCATCAACACTCACTATTTTTGCTAATTCTGACACGTTTCTTGGACTATTACTCACTTTTGTGGTCCCGGAGTGATTTTCATGATTAACGAACCCCGGGGGTGCATTTACGTGTAGGTTATCAACAATCACAATTTTGACCGATTCTGGCCTGTTTCATGGACTATTACTCGCAGTTTTGGGGTCCCAAAGCGATTTCCATGGTTGTCGAACCCCAAGGTGTACTTACGTGTCGGTTATCAACACTCACAGTTTTGGCCGATCCTGGCCCATTTCGTGGACTATTACTCACAGTTTTGGGCTCCCGGAGTGATTTCCATGATTAACGAACCCCGGGGTGCATTTATGGGTCGGTCATCAACACTCACTATTTTGGCCGATTCTGGCCCATTTCTTGGACTATTACTCAGCTTCGGGGTCCCGAAGCGATTTCCACGATTGACGATCCCTAGGGTGCGTTTACGTGTCCGTCGTCAATACTCATAGTTTGAGCCAATTCTGACCCATTTCGTGGACTATTACTCACCGTTTTAGGTTCCCGAACCGATTTCCAAACTTGTTGAACCCCATGGTGAGCTTACGTGTCGGTCATCAACACTCACACTTTTGGCTGATTCTGGCCTGTTTCGTGGACTATTACTCACTGTTTTGGGGCCCCGGAGTGAATTCCACGATTAAAGAACCCCGGGGTGCGTTTATGTGTCTGTCATAAATAGTCATATTTTTGACCGATTCTGGCACCTTTGGTGGACTATTACTCACAGTTTTGGGGTCCCGGAGTGATTTTCACAATTAACGAACCCCAGGGTGCATTTACGTGTCGGTAATCAACACTCAAAGTTTGACCAATTCTGGCATGTTTCATGGACTATTACTCACCATTTTGGGTCCCAAAGCAATTTCCATGGTTGTGGAACCGCAAGGTGCGCTTATGTGTCGGTCATCAACACTCACAGTTTTGGCTGATTCTGGCCCGTTTCATGGACTATTACTCACAGTTTTGGGCTCCCGTAGTGATTTCCATGATTAACGAACCCCGTGGTGCGTTTACATGTCGATAATCAACACTCACAGTTTTGGCCGATTTTGGCCCGTTTCGTACTGTGTTGGGGTCCCGGAGTGATTTCCACGATTAACAAATCCCGGGGTGCATTTACGTGTCGATCATCAACAATCGTGGTTTTTGTCGTTTCAGACCCGTTTCGTGGACTATTACTCACCGTTTTGTGGTCCCAAAGCGATTTACAAGGTTGTCCAACCCCAAGGAGTGCTTACGTGTTGGTCATCAGGACTCGTAGTTTGGGTCGACTCTGGACCGTTTCTTGGACAATTACTCAGTTTCGGGGTGCGTTTACGTGTCGGTCATCACACTCACAGTTTTGGACGATTCTGGCCCTTTTTGTGGACTATTACTCACTGTTTTGGGCCCCTGGAGTGATTTCCATGATTAGCGAACACCGGGGTGCGTTTAGATGTCGATCATCAACGCTCACATGTTTCGCCGATTCTGGCTCGTTTCATGGACTATTACTCACTGTTTTGGGGTCCCGGAGTATTTTTTCATGATTAACGATCCCCGGGATGCCTTTACGTGTCGGTCATCAGCACTCACAGTTTTTTCCCAATTCTGACACGTTTCGTGCACTATTACTTACCGTTTTGGGGTCCCGAAGCGATTTCCATAGATCCCCAAGGTGCGCTTACGTGTCGCTCATCAACAATCACAATTTCGGTGGATTCTGGCCCGTTTCGTGGACTGTTACTCACAGTTTTGGGTTCCCGGAGTGATTTCCATGATTAAGGAACCCCGTGGTCCGTTTATATGTCGGTAATCAACACTCACAGTTTTGGCCGATTATGACCCGTTTCGTACTGTATTGGGGTCCCGCAGTGATTTCCACGATTAACGAACCCCGGGGTGCGTTTACGTCTCGATCATCAACACTCATGGTTTTTGTCGTTTCGGACCCGTTTCGTGGACTATTACTCACCGTTTTGTGGTCCCAAAGCGATTTCAATGGTTGTCCAACCCCAAGGAGTTCTTACGTGTTGGTCATCAGGACTCGTTGTTTGGGTCAATACTGGCCCGTTTCTTGGACTATTACTTAGTTTCGGGGTCCCGAAGTGATTTCCACGATTGACGAACCACAGGGTGCGTTTACGTGTCGATCATCAACACTCACAATTCTGGCCGATTTTGGTCCGTTTCGTGCACTATAACTCAACGTTTTGGGGTCCCAGAGCAATTTCCACGATTGACGATCCCTGGGATGTGTTGACGTGTCCGTCATCAACACTCACAGTTTGAGCCAATTCTGACTTGTAGGAGCAAAAAGCATTAGCTAGAAAGTCATCAGCCAATTTTCCTCTTCTTTAGCTCCTAAATCATTTTGTTTCTTGTTTCCTCATCCACAGTAAAGAGCCAGAACTGCATACTTTGCATCACCACATCCTTCCATCTCTGCATGAGGAGGAACTCTTCCCGTGAGACTCTCTGTAGGACTCTCCTTTTCCGCGCCTTACATAATGGGTACCGGTGGTATATCTTTGACTGCTATTTGGAGGGATGGCATTTCTTCTGATGCCACCACCTATGTCTTGTTTAAGTTGACAATCTTGTGTGATACCTTCATTCATAATTCCGGATGGCCTATCCTCATTAACAACATCACTTTTGCATAAATTAGGATTTTCACAATCATCGCCTTGGTGCTATTGTTTTCACCTCATGTTTTTTTATTAGGCACTAGTCTTGTGTGACGCTGCGTATTTTTGAACCATTTCTCAACCGGTTAGGATAGGCCATAGTGAGGGTATTTCTCAATGCCAAGATAACTTGATGTTACATGAAATTGAAAATTCATGAAAAAGAGGTACAAACCTGATGGAACGTCAAACCTAGTTCTTATGCCAAGCTTACTTTAACCACACGTCTAGGATATTAATCTATTTTAAATTACTCGTGTAGCCACTGCCAAAATTAAAATGAAACACTTTCGGCTGAATCAAACTTTATGTTGGCCTGAATAAGCATTGCCACCTCGTTCTATTAATCTATACATTTTATGATATCAGAAAAAGAATTCCATGGAACCTGATTAATTATTGGCCCATAGTGCCTCTTATGTCCTATAACACTCCTGCATGTTGCACCTTCAACAAACTATTCAAGCTTTGTTGAGACGCTTGCAGAGTGAATTCATACCTTTGGCGCAAGATAGAACCTGCTTCACTTTCTTTCCAATTGTCCTTTTCAGAATCTGATGTGACATCTGACTAATCTTTCTTCTCTTTGATATCTTCATCAGAATCAGGACCTTCTGGACAATAGTCATTATCCTCGGAGTCCTCAGAAAGTAATCCAAGGTCATCAACATTGTCTTTCTCCTTCACATGTTCTGAATTATTGTCATAAGAAGTGATGAAAGTGCATTGTTGCCGTGACACTTGCAGAATGTTCAGTTTCACTTACGATCTGGAGGAGTATATGGATACTTAGAGGAGGGACCCATATATCGAACCAAGCTTCCCCGAAGGAGTAAAATGAAACATTTTCGCATGAATCAAACTTCATGTTGGCCTGGTTAAGCCTTGCCACCTTGTTCTGTTAATCTATACAATATATGATATTGGAAAAAGAATGCCATAGTACCTGATTAATTATATGTCCATAGTGCATCTTCCGTCCTATAGCACTTCGGCATGTTGCGGCTCAACAAACTATGAAAGCTTTGTTGAGACATTTGCTGAGTGAATTCATTCCTCTTGCGCACGATAGAACCTGCTTCAGTTTCCTTCCCACTGTCCCTTTCAAAGTCTGATGGGAAGTTTGACTCATCTTTCTTCTCTTTGATATCTTTATCTGATCAGGATCTTCTGGATAATAGTCATCATCCTTCGATTCCTCAAAAAGTAACCCAAGGTCATCAACATTGTCTTTCTCCTTCACATGTTCTGAATTATTGTCAGACGAAGTTATGAAATTTGATTCACCAGAGTATAAACCTTCACCCCCATCCTCTTTTTACGATCATACCACATGATCAACCACATCTTCTTTGGATATATCTGGGTCGAAGTCATCGTCTTCTGAATTGTCCGATGGAAGATCATGTACATCATTTTGCATTGGCTCTCATCCCACGGCAGCTGCCTTGGGAAAAACTTTCTGCAAAAATAATGTACTGTCAGGGTGAAATATAGTTCAAATTCATTGGCCTTGAAATAATGAAACTATTACCTCCCTAGACTCATTAATACAAAGAACTGACACATGAAGTTCATTTATTAATTCTCTCCAATATTTCTTGCAATCACATGCAGAGCAAAGCCATCGTTCATTAGGGACTACATAGGGAATGATCACATGAGGAATTAACACCAGATATAACATAACCTTGCATATAATAGGAACTTGGGAAAATAAATATTACTATCTTTAGTGAGGAAAGGAGGGTTTATACAATTCTGGTGGAACACTCTATTGCTGGTTCCGTCGCCAAGAATGATGTCATTATTCAATGTATCGTCTTTCGAACTATAAGTGGCACAGGCTATCCGCAAGACCTAAAGAATGGTCACTGATTAAAATATTAAGCGTAGCAAAGCAAAACATTGGAAGAAATTTTTTTGTTGACGTACATTATCACAAGATATATTTCCCTCCGAATCAAACAATGATTCTTCAGGCTTCCCCACAGTTAGAAGAATATCAAGATTCTGGAAAGCTTCTTGTTTTTTTAATTTGCACGGAATGATCCTTGCCTTGTTATTTAGATCCTTCTCGGGCCTTATCTTTTCCAAGTTACATGTTTGAGTATTGGTGAATATCATCTCTATATTGCAGGTAATCCACAGCTAAAAACTTCCAAGAAGCAATGTTGTCACCAGGGAAAAGGAGGTGGGATATACCCGGAATCCACATGACTTGTGAGAGCCTCTAATGCCTGAAGAATAAAATGTTGTCATCAGGGGAAAGGAGATGGGATATACGATGTTTCCCCTAGCAATTTTGATTGGAGTGGTTCTCCTACTACAAATTTCATGTACCAATGTTCTATACAAACCTTTTGGCACGAGCAAATTCAGCGGATCACCTCTGCACAAGCTTCCTAGGGGATGTGCCTGACCGTATGCTGGTTATCACACAAGAGATCCACTTTTGGCAAAAGGCAAACTTAGTCGGTGCTCGTATACGTCAGGCAGCGCGATCATATGCCTTTGTCGGATCTAACTTATATGCATAATGAATGTTACGTGGGATCTCGTTATGTTGAATCTTTTTAAAGCACTCAAAAGCATTAGCATCATAAAGGTTGATTATCTAAAATCTAGCCATGTTTCTAGAGTTGCGCATATTTGGTTAGTTTAATACTGTATTGTGAACCAGTTTCGGAAGTGTATAGTGCACTTTTTCAGTTATTAAAAAATGATTTTTTTCTTCATTGAAAGAAGTACAAGAAGCTTTTTGTGTACACTATTGCGACATGTACCATGTGTTAGAGTAGTTGATAGGTTGATTATCTAAAATACGTTAAGGTTTTTGGAGTTACAAATTTTTGGGTAAGTGTAATATTTATTGTGTACCCGTTCCGGAAGTGCATAGGGCACTTTTTTCGTTGCTACAAAAAAAGTAAAATTAGAATTTCTTTTCCTCATTAAATAAGTACAAGCAGCTTTTTATGTACACTATTATTAAAATGTTAGAGATATGTTGCCACATGTACCATGTGGTAAAGTAGTTGATTGGTTCCTAGTTTCTCCTGTGATAAAAAATATTTATTGTTCATTTATCATTGAGTAGTTCATTGGTTCCCCAAAGTGTACATGGCACTTTTTGCTCATCACTACAAAAAACATAGATAATTTCAATGGTTTTCAAACTTGGTGTTGTCCTACTATGTGGAGTATATGCATGATTCAACAGACATACATCTTGTATTTGGTACGGTGTCTACGCAAAATATAGCTTCAAGAGTCATCATAAAAAAGAAGTCTAGTACAACACGTGGAAGTGAAAACTGATGCAAATAAGGGACTAGAGAAAATCATGGAAAATAATTCTTAACGAGAATATACTCCTTACAGACAGTACAACATATATTTCATGCAAAAAGGGAGGATCACAACATGTAACAAGGAGATCAACTAACACATTGTTGAACATACATATGAACGATAAACAGAACAACCTAGTCACTTATCTAGGTCAGCAACAACAGAAACAACGATGTACAAAACCAATGACAGCACATATGCATGATTCTACAACCTATTAAATGAAACAACAACCACACTAGGCACAACGAAACGTCTAATGTCTTCCATTCTCTATCATAAAAGTGCATTGTTGCCGCGACACTTGTAGATTGTTTAGTTTCACTTACGATCTGGAGGAGTATATGGATACTTAGCGGAGGTTCCCATATATCGAACCAAGCTTCCCCCGAAGGAGTAAAACACCCACCATATGGGTGAAGAGTTTCATAAAATGACCTTGTTGACTTGCAGGAGCCAAGAAACAACATCAACCAATCTTCCTCTTCTTTAGCTCCTACAAAATTTTGTTACTTGTTTTCTCATCTACAGTAAAGAGGTAGAATTGCATACTTTGCATCACCACGTTTTGGCCTTCCAGAACTGCTTGAGGAGCAATTCTTTATGTGAGAATCTCTGGAGGACTCACCTTTTCTGCGCCTTACATAATGGAGACATGTGGTATATGTTTGACTTCTATTTGGAGGGATGGCATTTGTTCTCACGCCACCACCTATGTCTTTTTTAAGTGGACCATCTTGTGTGATACCATCTTTCATAATTCTTGATCGCCTATCCTCATTAACATCATTACTTTCGCATAAATTAGGATTTTCGACCATCATCGCCTTGGTGATATTGTTTTCACTTCGTGTTTTTTTAGATACTAGTCTTGTGTGACACTGCCTATTTTTGAACCATTTCTCAACCGGTTAGGATAAACCATAGTGAGGGTATTGCTCAATGCCAAGACAACTAGATGTTACATGAAATTGAAAGTTCATGAAAAAGAGGTACAAACCTGATGGAACATCAGACCTAGTTCTTGTGCCAAGCTTACTGAGGGAGTCCTGGACTAGGGGGTGTCCGGATAGCCGAACTATCATCATCGGCCGGACTCCAAGACTATGAAGATACAAGATTGAAGACTTCGTCCCACGTCCGGATGGGACTTTCCTTGGCGTGGAAGGCAAGCTTGGCGATACGGATATGTAGATCTCCTTCCATTGTAACCGACTCTGTATAACCCTAGCCCTCTCCGGTGTCTATATAAACCGGATGTTTCTAGTCTGTAGGAGAACAACAATAACAACAATAATAACAATCATACCATAGGCTAGCTTCTTGGGTTTAGCCTCCTTGATCTCGTGGTAGATCTACTCTCGTAATACCCACATCATCAATATCAATCAAGCAGGACGTAGGGTTTTACCTCCATCAAGAGGGCCCGGACCTGGGTAAAACATCGTGTCCCTTGTCTCCTGTTACCATCCGCCTAGACGCACAGTTCGGGACCCCATACCCGAGATCCGCCGGTTTTGACCCCGACATTGGTGCTTTCATTGCGAGTTCCTCTGTGTTGTCGCCAATAGGCTCGATGGCTCCTTCGATCATCAACTACGACGCGGTCCAGGGTGAGACTTTTCTCCCCGGACAGATCTTCGTATTCGGCGGCTTTGCACTGCGGGCCAATTCGGTTTGCCGTCTGGAGCAGATCGAAAGCTATGCCCCTGGCTGTCAGGTCAGATTTGGAAGTCTGAACTTCACGGCTGACATCCGCGGAGACTTGATCTTCAATGGATTCCAGCCACAGCCGAGCGTGCCGCACTGTCACGATGGGAATGATTTAGCTCTATTGCCGGACAGTGCCCTGGAGGCCGCACACGAGCCCGCTCCGACCCTTGATTCGGAGCCTGCTGCGCAGATCGAGGACGGATGGTTAGACACCGCCTCGGGGGCTGCAACCTCTACGTCGATAGAGCCGAATACTGACTTTGTCCCTTCTGAAGCTCGCGACTCCAAGGTGCCGGACTCCTTGCCGGACTCCGAACCTCCCGCGCCCCCACCAATCGAATCCGACTGGGCGCTGATCATGGAGTTCGCCGCTGCGGACATCTTTCAACACTCACCTTTTGGCGATGTTTTGAGCTCGCTAAAATATCTCTCGTTATCAGGAGAGCCCTGGCCGGCGACGAAGAAATTCATGACCCACCCACCACCCACTTAGTAGCCGCTGTCGATGATCTAACCGACATGCTAGACTTCGACTCCGACGACATCGACGGTATGGACGACGATGCCGGAGACGACCAAGAACCAGCGCCTACTGGGCACTGGAAAGCCACCTCGTCATACGACATATACATGGTGGATATCCCAAAGGATGGGAATGGTGAAGGAACAGCGGAGGAAGACCCCTCCAAGAAACAGCCCAAGCGCCGACGTCAGCGGTGCCGCTCTAAATCCCGCCACAGCAAGAATGGTGATTCCGGCACCGGAGATAATAATACCCCAGACAGTGCCGAAGACAACATCCTCCAGCAAGATTCAGCGCAGGAGGACGGGGATGCCAGCCCTCACAAGAGGGAGGCAGACGATGAGGTAGAGGAAGATATTTACACGCGTCCCTCCGGAGATGAGGCAAGCCTTGACGACGACGAATTTGTCGTGCCTGAGGATCCCGTCGAACAAGAGCGTTTTAAACGCAGGCTTATGGCCACGGCAAACAGTCTCAAGAAAAAGCAGCAACAGCTTAGAGCTAATCAGGATCTGATAGCCGATAGATGGACGGAAGTCCTGGCGGCCGAAGAGCATGAGATCGAACGCCCCTCCAAAAGCTACCCCAAACGCAGGTTGCTCCCCTGATTAGAGGAGGAGGCATATAAACCTGCATCACCAGAGCACAATACGGATGACCGGCCACCTCGTGGCCGTGACAGAGAGGCCTCTAGGCCCTTCACTATAACCGTACCCCGGCACCGCTCAAACAGCACAAGGCCACAGGGGAATTCTCCGGACATGCGAGATATATTGGAGGATAAGGCAAGACAATCAAGATCGATCTACGGATCGCGTGGGCGCGGCATGATACGTGACGAAAACTGTCGCGCCAGACACAATAAGTCCGGCCGGGCCGAACACAATAGACAAAGCTCGTTGGAGGTTCGTCGCGATATAGCCCAATACAGAGGCGCCGCACACCAACTATGCTTCACAGACGAAGTAATGGATCATCAAATCCCCGAAGGGTTTAAACCCGTAAATATCGAATCCTATGACAGCACAACAGACCCAGCGGTTTGGATCAAAGACTATCTCCTTCATATCCACATGTCCCGCAGTGATGATCTTCACGCCACCAAATACCTCCCACTCAAGCTTAAAGGACCAGCTCGGCATTGGCTTAACAGCTTGCCAGCAGAATCAATTGGATGTTGGGAGGACCTGGAAGCCGCATTCCTTGATAACTTCCAGGGCACGTATGTGCGACCACCAGACGCTGACGACCTAAGCCACATAATTCAGCAGCCAGATGAATCGGGCAGACAATTCTGGACACGGTTCTTAACTAAGAAAAATCAAATCGTCGACTGTCCGGATGCAGAGGCCCTCACAGCCTTCAAACATAACATCCGCGACGAGTGGCTTGCCCGGCACCTGGGACAGGAAAAGCCGAAATCCATGGCAGCCCTCACATAACTCATGACCCGCTTTTGCGCGGGAGAGGACAGCTGGCTAGCTCGCAGCAACAACCTCAGCAAAAATTCGGACAGTCCGGATACCAAGGATCACAATGGAAGGTCACGTCGCAACAAGAATAAGTGCCGCATTAACAGTGACAATAATGAGGATACGGTAGTCAACGCCGGATTCAGAGGCTCGAAACCCGGTCAGCGGAAGAAGCCATTCAAAAGAACTACTACGGGTCCGTCCAATTTGGACCGAATACTCGATCGCTCGTGCCAGATACACGGCACCCCCGAAAAGCCAGCCAACCACACCAACAGGGACTGTTGGGTATTCAAGCAGATAGGCAAGCTAATCGCCGAAAACAATGACAAAGCAATGACGAAGGAGAGACCCGACCACCGAACAACAGAGGACAAAAGGGTTTTCCCCCACAAGTGCGGACGGTGAATATGATATACGCAACCCACATACCCAAGAGGGAGCGGAAGCGTGCACTCAGGGACGTATACGCGATGGAGCCAGTCGCCCCGAAGTTCAACCCATGGTCCTCCTGCCTGATCACTTTTGATCGAAGGGACCACCCCACCAGCATCCGCCACGGCGGATTCGCCGCATTGGTTATAGACCGAATCATCAATGGATTTCACCTCACCAGAGTCCTGATGGACGACGGCAGCAGCCTGAACCTGCTTTATCAGGACACAGTGTGCAAGATGGGCATAGACCCCTCAAGGATTAAACCCACAAAGACGACCTTCAAAGGCGTCATACCAGGTGTAGAGGCCAATTGTATGGGCTCAGTCACACTGGAAGTGGTCTCGGATCACCGGATAACTTCCGAAGCGAGGAGTTAATCTTCGACATAGTTCCGTTCCGCAGCGGCTATCATGCTCTGCTCGGACGGACCGCGTTTGCAAAGTTCAACACGGTGCCGCACTACGCATACCTCAAGCTCAAGATGCCAGTCCCTCGAGGAGTCATTACGGTCAACGAAAACACGGAGCGCTCCCTCCGAACGGAGGAACATACAGCGGCTCTCGCGGCAGAAGTACAATGCAGCCTCTTAAGGCAATTCTCGAGTCCGGCCGTTAAGCGACCAGACACGTCCAAACGCGCCCGAAGTAACCTACAACAAGACCACATGGCGTGTTCCGAGCATGCGTAGCAATGCGACCCCCAACCCCAGCCCTCGCAAGATCGCAAGACTGGCCCTTCGCGTACATAATTACGCTCTGGAGATACCATGGGCATAGGGGAAGGGGCACGACCACGATAGGCCCAGAATGCGGCTCAACCACATCAGGGGTTCCAAAGTGCGTCATTTCTTTTTTTTCTGTTTCCTTTTCTTTTCTTACCCACAGGACTCCGTTTATCAGAGGCCCTGCCTGGCAGTAGACCGGCCGAACTCACGATGCAACAGCCAGGGAAGGAGAAAGGCTGCGACGAATATCCAGGTGGTCTCCCTTAAGAGCATTTAATCTGTTTTATACACCACGCCGCAGCCTACCCCTGGAGGGGGACATGTTTAGCAGTCCCTTCCCTTGCTTATCGCACTATATGTATCGTTCTGCATTCATAGCAGTACTTCTTGAATAAAACAATGCAGCACCTTTTTGCCTATAATTGCATTTCTTTTTTATACATATGTTCGTTTACGGCATGTTGCATCCATACACTTTGGTACAGCTAAAAGACACTAGGGGCTTATGTTCCCCACATCATGGTGTGATAAGTCCGAACACTTTCACAAGTGTGGCACTCCGAACTTATAGCATTATATGCATCAGCTCCGAATCATGTCTTGGGTCAATAGTTGGGTTTGCCCGGCTCCCATGTTTTGGTACCTTACGTTCCATTGTATCGGCTAAGGTAGCACTGGGAGAACCACTGCGATTGCGCCCCAGTTGAGCTGGGTTAACGCCTCAGTGGAGAAAGCTAAAACTGACCGTCATGATGAGGCGAGAGCCGGTCGCTGTTCGAGAGGTTTTTTTGAGTCCCTAAAGACTTACGCCGCTTAGAGCGAGGAACCGGCTTTCTCCGGCCCAGGCATGGATAGCACCCTGAATTCGGTCTTCCGAACACTAGGGGCTTCGCCGAAATTTAAAATTATAGAATTCTATGGCTAAGTGAGAGTGTTCAAGCATTATAAGTCCGGTTGCCTAGTTCGTCGTGTTGAGCGCCTCCCTAGATGGACCCAAATATGGGAACAAGAGTGCTCAAATTTATACCGAACACCCCAGCACTCGTGGCATGGGGGCTGAAGTCGACGACTTGCCATCTCTCAGATTTAATAAATAGCCGCACAAAAGGTAATATTTTAAATCAACAAACGTTGTTTAGCGCATATGAACAAGGTTTTCTGCGCACAGGATAACAAAATGGGAGTTTGCTCAAATATTGCATCATTGGAGCACTCACCCGCAATAGTGCGGGCACCCTTCAGGACACTCTTATAATATATCTCAGGCGTTCGATACTCCTTGCCCGGCGGTGGCTCGTCCGTCACAAGCTTCTCAGCATCCATCTTGCCCCAGTGCACCTTAACACGGGCAAGGGCCCGATGGGCACCTTCAATACAGGCGGATCGCTTGATGACCTCAACCCATGGACACGCATCCACCAGCCGCCGCACCAGGACGAAGTAGCTCCCAGGCATGGCCTCATTGGGCCACAGCCGAACTATGAGGCCCTTCATGGCCTGTTCAGCCACCTTGTGGAGCTCGACCAGCTGGTTCAGCTGGTCGCTAAGGGGAACCGGATGTCTGGCCTCAGCATACTGAGACCAGAAGACCTTCTCCGTCGCGCTCCCCTCCTCGGCCCTGTAGAAAGCGGCAGCATCGGACACGCTGCAGGGCAGATCTGCGAACGCTCCTCGAGAGCTCTGAATTCGGGTAAGTAACACGTAATCCACATCCACATGCTTGCTTTGCATGAAAATGCCTTACCCGACGCTATTTTCTTCAACACCTCGATTTCCTGGAGGGCCTTGTAGGCTTCGGCCTTAGCGGCTTTGGCACTCTCAAGAGCCGATGCAAGCTCGGACTCTCGAGTCTTCGAGTCACGCTCCAAACTCTCGTGTTTTTCCACGAGAGCCCGGAGCTCTTGTCGTACCTCCGCCACCCGCGCCTCCTGCTTCTCTCACTCGGCGCGCTCCGCGGCCGCATTGCGTTCGGCCACGGACACTGCATCCTTCAGGGTCGCCACCTTGTTTGTGGCCCCTGCAATACCCACGTTATCCTTGTCATTCTTTTTGCAACCAAGTCCTTTTCTGTAAGGTACAATTTTAATAAGGTGCTACTCACCTTCTTTGTCCTCGAGTTGCTTCTTGGCACGACCGAGCTCGTTCTCGGACCGCTCGAGGTTTTGCTTCAAAGCATTGACCTCCGCAGTCAGTGCGGTAGAGGTCAGCAGGGTAGCCTGCAATCCCATATCGACATATTTTTTATGACTCCTGCGTATATCTTTTTAGATCCTCAGTCCGGCTTTTCTTTCCGAACACCGAACCGAGCATCAGAGGCAACTGTCTATGCGGTACTATTTTACATATATTAATATTCTTACCTGAAAGCCTGATAGAAGGCTGCTGCAGGCTTCGGTCAGCCCGCTTTTGGCGAGCTAGACCTTCTGAATCACCGCACTCATTACAGGGCGGACTGCAGGGTTGTACGCGGCGTTAGAAAGACACCAAGTGGCGAAAAGAAAAATCATGAAGTCATTCGGGAGTCTGGATACTTACGATCTCGCCAGGGGCTTGGCCCTTGGACGCCAATCCTCGTCGTCGTCACCGGCGTTGGCAGAACAGTCCGGGGGAAGAGTTCTTCCCTTCTTGGACCCTTCGGCCTCCCTCGTTGGGGAGGCCCTCCTTTTCTTCCCTCCCCCTGCTGGGGGAGAGGCCCTTTTCTTCTTCTCCTCATCCTCGGGGGAAGAGTCCGCCTCGGAGTCATCGGACACCTGAAAACGGGAACTCTTTCGAGTACCCGTGGCCTCCTTCTTGGCCTTCTTCTCCGGCACCACATGGGGTGCCGGAACCAGTAGCCCCGCCAGATGGGCATCCACCGGGTCTTCTGGCAAGGGGGGCGGACAGTTCGTCTGCTCGGCCTTCTTCAGCCAGTCCTGTCAAAGGAAAGGGGAGTTTAGATCTCGCATAGAGTCAAAATATGAAAAGCAAGTATCCCGTAAAGGGTAAAATCATTTACCTCGTCAGCCGGACGCTGCGAGCGGAATCCGCGATCTTCGGTAGCGGATGCGGGGGCCTCGGCGCCCTTAAAAAGCACCTTCCAGGCATCTTTGTACCTAGTGTCGAAGAGCCCGCTCAAGGTTCGGTGTTGAGCCGGATCGAACTCCCATAGTTTAAAGGCCCGTTATTCGCACGGGAGGATCCAGCGGATGAGCATGACCTGGACGACGTTGACAAGCTTGAGCTTCTTGTCCACCAGCATCTGGATACAGGCTTGGAGTCCGGTCAGCTCTTCCGAATCACCCCAAGTCAGGCCACTCTCCTTCCAAGAGGTTAGCCGTGTGGGGATGCCAGATCTGAATTCAGGGGCCGCTGCCCATTTAGGGTCACGCGGCTCGGTGATGTAGAACCACCCCGATTGCCACCCCTTGATGGTTTCCACGAAGGCGTCCTCGAGCCAAGTAACGTTGGGTATCTTGCCCACCATGGCACATCCGCACTCCGCTTGATTCCCCTTCACGACCTTCGGCTTAACATTGAAGACCTTGAGCCACAAGCCGAAGTGGGGCTGGATGCAGAGGAAGGCCTCACACACGATGATAAACGCCGAGATGTTGAGGATGAAATTCGGGGCCAGATCATGGAAATCCAGGACGTAGTAGAACATGAGCCCCCGAACAAAGGGGTGAAGTGGGAAGCCCAGTCCGCGGAGGAAATGGGGAAGGAATACCACCCTCTCATGGGGCCTGGGGGTGGGGATGAGCTGCCCCTTGTTGGGGAGCCGTTGCACGATCTCGCTAGACAGGTATCTGGCGCCGCGCAGCCTCTCAATGTGCCCCTCCGTGACAGAGGAGGCCATCCATTTGCCTCCCGCTCCGGACATGGCTGGAGGAGGTCGAGGCGAGATGTGCGGACTTCGGCGCTGGAGCTCGAGTGCGCGGAGATGGATAAGCAAAGGAGGAAGAAGGCGTAGGTGAAAAGGTGGATCCTTATCCCCTTATATATGGACGGACGAAACTATGCGTCCCCACCGGCCGGGTAAAACTCGCTTTTCTCCCAAGCACCGCAATCAATGGCGCGGTTGGGTTACCCACGTCCGTATTGATGAGAATCCCGGAATAGGGGGAGCACGATCTCTGCTTCAATAAGACGTGCCAAGGAAACCGCTTCACTAAAAGCGGTGAGGCGGTATAATAGAAATGATTCAAGTAAAGGCCTGGTTGTGGTGTGACGTCACGCCACGAAATACGTCAGCAGATTGAACTTGTGAAAATATTATTCTCTCTACGGTGGAATGTGGAATTTATTTTGCAGAGCCGGACACTATCCTGGTGTTCACAATATTCTACAAATTATTCGAAGGAGGAACCCGCCTTGCAATGCCGAAGACAATATGCGCGTCGGACTCATCGTCATGGAAGCCTGGTTCAGGGGCTACTGAGGGAGTCCTGGACTAGGGGGTGTCTCGATAGCCGAACTATCATCATCGGCCGGACTCCAAGACTATGAAGATACAAGATTGAAGACTTCGTCCCGTATCCGGATGGGACTTTCCTTGGCGTGGAAGGCAAGCTTGGCGATACGGATATGTAGATCTCCTACCATTATAACCAACTCTGTGTAACCCTAGCCCTCTCCGGTGTCTATATAAACCGGATGGTTCTAGTCTGTAGGACAACAACAATAACAACAATAACAACAATCATACCATAGGCTAGCTTCTAGGGTTTCGCCTCCTTGATCTCATGGTAGATCTACTCTAGTAATACCCACATCATCAATATCAATCAAGCAGGACGTAGGGTTTTACCTCCATCAAGAGGGCCTGAACCTGGGTAAAACATCGTGTCCCTTGTCTCCTGTTACCATCTGCCTGGACGCACAGTTCGGGACCCCCTACCCGATATCCGCCGGTTTTCACACCGACACTTACTTTAACCACACGTCTAGGATATTGATCTGTTTTAAATTACTCGCGTAGCCACTGCCAAAATTAAAATGAAACAGTTTCGCATGAATCAAACTTCATGTTGGCCTGGTTAAGCCTTGCCAACTCGTTCTGTTAATATATACAATTTACGATATAGGTAAAAGAATGCCATAGTTCCTGATTAATTATTGGCCCATAGTGCCTCTTCCATCCTATAGCACTTCTGCATGTGACAGCTCAACAAACTATGCAAGCTTTGATGAGACGTTTGCAGAGTGAATTCATTCGTCTAGTGCACGATAGAACCTACTTCACTTTCCTTCCCATTGTCCCTTTTAGAGTCCGATGGGAAGTTCGACTCATCTTTCTTCTCTTTGATATCTTTATCTGAATCAGGATCTTCTGGGTAATAGTCATCATCCTCGGAGCCCTCACAAAGTAATCCAAGGTCATCAACATTGTCTTTCTCATTCACATTTTCTGAATTATTGTCAGAAGAAGTTATGTAATTTGAGTCGTCGGAGTCTAAACCTTCACCCCATCCTCTTTTGATGATCCTACCACATGATCAGCCACATATTCTTCGGATATATAGGGGTCGAAGTCATCATCTTCTGAATTGTCTGATGGAAGATCATGTACTTCATTTTGCATTGGCTCGCGTCCCACGACAACTGCCTCGGGAAAACTTTTCTGCTAAAATAATGTAGTATTAGGGTGAAATATAATTCAAATTCATTGGGCTTGAAACAATGAAAATATTACCTCCCAAGAGTCATTAATGCAAAGAACTATCACATGGAGTTCATTTATTAATTCCACACAGTATATATTGCAATCACATGTAGAGCATAGCCATCATTCGTTAGGGACTACATAGGGTATGATCACATGAGGAACTAACACCATATATAACATAACCTTGCATATAATAAGAACTTGGGAAAACAAATATTACTCTTTAGTGAGCAAAGGAGTGTTTAGACAATTCCGGTGGAACACTCTATCGTAGGCTCCGTCACCAGGAATGATGTCATTATTCAATGTATCTTCTTTTGAACTATAAGTGTCACAAGCTATCTACAAGACCGACAACATGGCCAGTGATTAAAATATTAAGGGTAACAAAGCTAAACATTGGAAGAAGAAAAATTGACATTCATTATCACAAGATATATTTCCCTCTGAATCAAACAAAGATTCTTGAGGCTTCCCCAGAGTTAGAAGAATATCAAGATTCTGGAAAGCTTCTCGTTTTTTTAAATGGCACCGGATGATACTTTCTTTGTTATTTAGAACCTTCTCGGGCCTTATCTTTTCCAAGTTACATGTTTGAGTATGGGTGAATACCATATCTATATTGCAAGGAATCTATAGCTAAAAACTTCCAAGAAGCAATGTTGTCATCAAGGAAAAGGAGGTGGGATATACATGGAATCCCCATGACTTGCGAGAGACTCTAATGCCTGAAGAACAAAATGTTGTCGTCAGGGGAAATGAGATGGGATATACCATGGTCCCCTCTAGTAATTTGGATTGGAGTGGTTCTCCCACTACCAATTTCATGTACCAACTCTCTAGACAAACCTTATGGCACGAGCAAATTCAGCGGATCAACTCTGCACAAGCTTCCTAGGGGATGTGCCTGACCGAACACTGCTCATCACCTAAGAGATCCTTTTGGCAAAAGGCAAATTTAGTCGATGCACATTCAAGTATACGTCAGGCGACGCGATTATATGCCTTTGTCGGATCTAACTTATATGCATAATCAATGTTCTGTGGGATCTCACAACATTGAATCTTTTTAAAGCACTCAAATGCGATAGCATCATAAAGGTTAATCTATACATTTTATGATATATGAAATATAATGCCATAGTAACAGATTAATTATTGGCCCATAGTGCCTCTTCTGTCGTATAGCACTTCTGCATGTTGCGCTTTCAGCAAACTATGCAAGCTTTGTTGAGACATTTTGTATAGTGAATTCATTCATCTGGCGGACAATAACCCGCTTCACTTTCTTACCCATTGTCCCTTTCAAAGTCCATTGTGAAGTTTGACTCATCTTTCTTCTCTTTGATATCTTTATCTGAATCAGGATCTTCTGGATAATAGTCATCATCATCGGAGTCCTCAGAGAGTAATCCAAGGTCATCAACATTGTCTTTCTCTTTCACATGTTCTGAATTATTGTCATAAGAAGTAATGAAATTTGAGTCATCAGAGTCTAAAGCTACACCCCATCCTCTTCTGACGACCTACCACATGATCAGCCACATCTTCTTCGGATATATTGGGGTCGAAGTCATCGTCTTCTGAATTGTCCGATGGAAGATCATGCACATCATTTTGCATTGGCTTGCGTCCCACGGGAGCAGCCTCAGGAAAAACTTTCTGCAAAAGTAATGTACTATCAGGGTGAAATATAGTTCAAATTCATTGACCTTGAAACAATGGAACTATTACCTCCCAAGAGTCATTATTGCAAAGAACTGTCAAATGGAGTTCATTTATTTATTCTATACAGTATATCGTGCAATCACATGCAGAGGAAAGCAATCCTTCATTAGGGACTACAAAGGGAATGATCACATGAAGGGATTAACAATAGATATAACATTACCTTGCATATATTAGGAACCTGAGAAAATAAATATTACTATCTATAGTGAGCAAAGGGTTTAGAAAATTCTGGTGTAATCCTATATTGTAGGCTCCGTCACAAAGAATAATGTGATTATTTAATGTATCATCTTTCAAACTACAAGTGGCACAAGCACTCCGCATGACGGAAAGCATGGTCACTGATTAAAATACTAAGCGTAACAAAGCACAACATGCATTGGAAAAGAAAAATTTGTTGACACACATTATCACCAGATACATTTCCTTCTGAATCAAACAAAGATTCTTCAGGCTTCCCAATAGTTAGAAGATTCTTGAAAGCTTCTTATATTTTTAATTGGCACCGAATGATCCTTGCCTTGGCTTTTCAGATCCTTCTCGATACTTATCTTTTCCATGTTACATGTTTGAGTATATGGGTGAACACCATTTCTATATTGGAAGGAATATACAACTAAGAACTTCCAAGAAGCAATGTTGTAATTAGGGAAAAGGAGGTGGGATATACCTGGAATCGACATGACTTGCAGGAGCCTTGCCTGAAGAATAAAAGGTTGTCTTCAGGGGAAAGGAGATGGGATATACCAGGGTTCCCACTAGAAATTTTGATTGGAGTGGTTCTCCCACTACCAATTTCATGTACCAATGCTCTAGACAAACCTTCTGATATGATGAAATTCTGCAGATCAGCTCTGCACAAGCTTCCCAAGGGATGTGCCTGACCGCATGCTGGTCATCGCCCAAGAGATCCACTTTTAGCAAATGGCAAACTTAGTCGATGCTCATTCAAATATACGTCAAGAGACGCAATCATATGCCTTTGTCGGATCTAAGTTATATGCATAATGAATGTTTTATGGGATCTTGCTATGTTGAAACTTTATAAAGCATTTAAACGCAATAGCATTATAATGGTTGATTATCCAAAATCCATCCATGTTTCTAGATTTGCGCATTTTTGGTTTGTGTAATACTATATTATGAACCTGTCCCGGAAGTGTATAGTGCACTTTTTGCATTATTCCAAAAAAGTTGATTTTCTTTTCTTCATTAAAAAAGTACAAGAATCTTTTTCTGTACACTATTGCGACATATACCATGTGTTAGAGTAGTGAATCGGTTGATTATCTAAAGTCCATTAATGTTTCTAGAGTTGCACATTTTTGGATAAGTGTAATATCTATTGTGTACCCATTCCGGAAGTGTATAGGGCACTTTTTTCATTGCTACAAAAAAAGTAATATTAGAATTTCTTTCCTTCACTAAAAGAAGGACAAGCACCTTTTTATGTACACTATTATTAAAATGTTAGATATATTGCCGCATGTACCATGTGGTAGAGTAGTTGATTGGTTCCTAGTTTCTCTTATGATAAAAAATATATTTTTTGTTTGTTTATCATTTAGCAGTTCATTGGTTCCCCGAAGTGTACATGGCACTTTTTGCTCGTCACTTAAAAAACAAAGAAAAGTTTAATGTTTTTAAAACTTGGTGTTGTCCTACTGTGCGGAGTATATATTTAACAGGTGTATATGCATGCTTCAACAGGTAAACATCATGTATTGGGTATGGCGTCAAAGCAAAATATAGCTTTAAGAGTCATCATGAAAAAGAAGTCTGGTACAACATCTGCAACTGAAAACTGATGCAAATAAGGTACCTGAGGAAATCATGGAAAATAAGTATTACGCAGAATATACTTCTCACAGACAGTACAACATATATTTCATGCAAAAAGGGAAGATTACAACATGTAACAAGGAGAGCAACTGAAACATTCTTGAAAATACATATGAACGATAAACAGAACAACCTAGTCACTTATCTTGGTAAGAAACAACAGGCACAATGATGTACACAACCAATTACAACACATAATCATGATTCTATCACATATTTAAGGAAACGACAATGACACAAGGAACAACGAAACATATAATGTCTTCCATTCTCTATCATAAAAGTGCATTGTTGCTGTGACACTTGCAGAATGTTCAGTTTCACTTACGATCTAGAGAAGTATACGGATAATTAGCGGAGTGTCCCATATATTGAACCAAGCTTCCCTCAAAGGAGTAAAACACCCACGATGTGGGCGAAGAATTTCATAAAATGAATTTTCTGACTTGCAGGAGCCAAAAGCATTAGCTAGAGACGTCATCAACCTATCTTCCTCTTCTTTATCTTCTACAACATTTTGTTTCTTGTTTTCTCGTCCATAATAAAGAGCCAGAACTACACACTTTGCACCACCACGTGTTGGCATTCAAGCACAGCTTGAGGAGGAATTCTTCCCGTTATACTCTCTTGAGGACTTGCCTTTTCTACGCCTAACATAATGGGAACCCGTGGTATATCTTTGACTACTATTTGGTGGGATGGCATTTGTTCTCATGCCACCACCTATGTCTTGTTTAAGTGAACCGTCTTGTGTGATACCTTCATTCATAATTACGGATGGCCTATCCTCATTAATAGCATCGTCTTTGCTTAAGTTAGGATTTTCTACCATCATCGCCTTGGTGTTATTGTTTTCACCTTGTGGGTTGTTTTTATTAGATACTAGTCTTACGTGATGCTACGTATTTTCGAACCTTTTGTCAACCGGTTGTGATAAGCCATGGTGAGGGTATTGTTCAATTCCAAGACAACTAGGATTACATGAAATTGAAAATTCAGGAAAAGAGGTACAAACATTATGGAACGTCAGACCTAGCTAGTTCTTGTGCCAAGCTTACTTTAACCACACGGGTAGGATATAGATCTGTTTTAAATTACTCGTGTATCCACTACGAAAATTAAAATGAAACACTTTCGGATGAATCAAACTTCATGTTGGCCCAGTGAAACCTTGCAACGTTATTTTGTTTGTCTATACAATTTATGATATAGGAAAAATAATGCCATATTACCTGATTAATTGTTGGCCCATAGTGCCTCTTCTGTCCTATAGAATTTCTGCATGTTGCACATTCGCCAAACAATGCAAGCTTTGTTGATACGTTTGCAGAGTGAATTCATTCATCTGGCGCATGATAACATGCTTCACTTTCTTTCCCATTGTCCTTTTTAAGTATGATATGAAGTCTGACTCATCTTTCTTCTCTTTGATATCTTTATGCAAATGAGGATCTTCTGGATAATAGTCATCATCCTCGGAGTCCTCAGAAAGTAATGCAAGGTCATCAACATTGTCTTTCTCCTTCACATGTTCTGAATTATTGTCAGAAGAAGTTATGCAATTTGAGTCAGCCACATCATCAACGATCCTTCCACATGATCAGCCACATCATCTTCGGATATATTGGGGTCGAAGTCACCTTCTGCTGAATTGTCTGATGGAAGATCATGTACATCATTTTGGATTAGCTCACGTCCCACTATAGCTACCTCAGGAAAAACTTTCTACAAAAATAGTGTAGTATCATGGTGAAATATATTTTAAATTCATTATCCTTTAATGAAAAGAACTGTCACATGGAGTTCATTTATTAATTCTATATAGTATATCTTGCAATCAAATGCAGAGCTAAGCCATCCTTCGTCAGGGACTACAAAGGGAATGATTACATGAAGGTATTAACACGACATATAACATTACCTTGCCTATAATAGGAACCTGGGAAAATAAATATTTATATGTTTAGCGAGCAAAGCAGGATTTAGACAATTTTGGTGTAACCCTATATCGTAGGCTTCGTCGAAGAGAATGGTGACATTATTCAATGTATCCGTTATCGAACTACAAGTGGCACAAGCAATCTGCATGACTGGAAGCATGGTCATCAATTAAAATACTAAGCATAACAAAGCACAACATGCAATGGAAAAGAAAAATTTGTTGACATACATTATCACAAGATACATTTCCTTCTGAATCAAACATAGATTCTTCAGGCTTCCCCACGGTTAGAAGATTCTGGAAAGCTTCTCGTATTTTTAATTTGCACTGAAAGACCCTTGCCTTGGCTGTTCAGATCGTTCTCAGAACTTATCTTTTCCAAGTTACATGTTCGAGTATATGGGTTAATACCATGTCTATATTGCAACACAACTAAAATCTTCCACGAAGCAATGTTGTCATTAGGGAAAAGGAGGTGGGATATACCTGGAATCGACATGACTTGTGAGAGTCTCTAATGCCTCAAGAATAAAATGTTGTCATCAGGGGAAAAGAGATGGGATATACCAGGGTTCCCCAAGCAGTTTTAATTGGAGTGGTTCTCCTACTACCAATTTCATGTACCAATGCTCTAGACAAACCTTCTGGCACGAGCAAATTCAGCGGATTACCTCTACACAAGCTTCCCAGGGAATGTGCCTGACGCACACTGGTCATCACACAACAGATCCACTTTTGGCAAAAGGCAAACATAGTCGGTGCTCATTAAAATATACGTCAGGTGACGCGATCATATGCCTTTGTCGGATCTAAATTATATGCATAATGAATAATCTATGGGATCTTAGTATGTTGAATCTTTTTAAAGCATTTAAATGCAATAGCATTATAATGGTTGATTATCCAAAATCCATCATGTTTCTAGGGTTACGCATTTATGGTTTGTGTAATACTGTATTCTGAACCTGTCCCGGAAGTCTACAGTGCACTTTTTCCATTATTACAAAAAAAGTTGATTTCTTTTGGATAAGGGTAATATTTATTGTGTACCCGTTCAGTAAGTGTATAAGGCACTTTTTTCGTCGCTACAAAAAAAGTAAAATTAGAATTTCTTGTCTTCATTAAGAGAAGTACAAGCAACTTTTTATGTACACTATTATTATAATGTTAGAGATATGTTGCCACATGTACCATTTGGTAGAGTAGTTGATTGGTTCCTAGTTTCTCTTATGATTAAAAAACATATTTATTGTTTGTTTACGTTTGAGCAGTTCATTGGTTCCCCGAAGTATACATTGCACTTTTTGCTCATCACTACAAAAACCAAAGATAAAATTAATGGTGTGAAAATTTGGTGATGTCCTACTGTGGGGAGTATATGTTTAATAGTTATATATGCATGATTCAACAGGAATACATCATGGATTGGGTATGGCGGCTAAGCAAAATATAGCTTCAAGAGTCATCATGAAAAAGAAGTCTAGTACAACATCTGCAAGCAAAAACTGATGCAAATAAGGGACCAGAGGAATTCAAGGAAAACAACTCCTAACCAGAATATACTCATCACAGACAGTACAACATATATTTCATGCAAAAAGGAAGATTACAACATGTAACAAGGATATCAACTAACACATTGTTGAAAATACATATGAACGATAAACGGAAAAACCTGCTCACTTATCTAGGTAAGCAACAACAGACACAATGATGTACACGACCAATGACAACACATAATAATGATTCTACCAGATATTAAAGGAAACAACAGCGACCCCAAGGTCATCAACACTCACAATTTTGGCCGATTCTGGTCTGTTTCGTGCACTATTACTCAGCGTTTTGGGGTCCCAAAGCGATTTCCACGATTGACAATCCCTAGGGTGCGTTTATGCGTCCGTCGTGAACACTCACAGTTTGAGCCAATTCTGACCCGTTTCGTGGTATTACTCACCGTTTTGGGGTCCTGAAGAGATTTCCATAGTTGTTGAACCCCAAGGCGCGCTTACGTGTCGGTCACCAACAATCGCAGTTTGGGCTAATTTTTGTCCGTTTCTTGGACTATTACTCCGTTTTGGTGTCCTGGAGTGATTTCCACGATTGACGAACCCCGGGGTGCATTTATGTGTCGGTCATCAACACTCACAATTTTGGCTGATTCTGCTTCGTATCATGCACTATTACACACCGTTTTGGCGTCCCAGAGCGAAATCCACATTGACAATTCCCGGGGTGCATTTACGTGTTCGTCGTCAACACTCATAGTTTTGACCGATTCTGGCCTGTTTCATGGATTATTACTCACCGTTTTGGGTCCCAAATTTCCATGGTTGTTGAACCCCAAGGGGCGCTTACGTCTCAACACTCACATTTTGGCCAATTCTGGCCCGTTTCGAGGAATATTACTCACTGTTTTGGGCTCCTGGAGTGATTTTCATGATTAACGAACCCCGGGGTGCGTTTACGTGTCGGTCATCAACACTCACAATTTTGGCTGATTCTGGCTTATTTTGTGCACTATTACTCTCTGTGTTGGGGTCCCGGAGTGATTTCCACGATTAACGAATCCTGGTGTGCGTTTACGTGTCGATCATCAACACTCAAAATTTTGGCCGATTCTGGTCCGTTTCATGCGCTATGGATCAGCGTTTTGGGGTCCCAAAGCGATTTCCACGATTGATTATCCCCGGGTGCATTTATGTGTCCGTCATCAACACTCATAGTTTGGGCCAATTCTGACCCGTATCATGGACACCGTATTGGGGTCCCGAAGCGATTTCTATTGTTGTTGAACCCCAGGGTGCGCATACGTGTCAGTCATCAACACTCATAGTTTTGGCTGATTGTGTCCCGTTTCGTGGACTATTACTCACTCTTTTGGGGTCCCGGAGTGAATTCCACGATTAATGAACCCTGGGGTGCGTTTATGTGTCGGTCATCAACACTCACGGTTTTTGTCGATTCTGACCCGTTTCATGGACTATTACTCACTCTTTTGTGGTCCCAAAGCGATTTCCATGGTTATCGAACCCAAGGCGTGCTTAGCGTTGGTCGTCAGGACTCGCAGTTTGGGCCGATTCTGGCCCGTTTGTTGGACTATTACTCAGTTTCAGGGTCCCGGAGTGATTTCCACGATTGACGAACCCCGGGGTGCGTTTACGTGTTGG